TTTCAGGATAGTTGAAACCCTCTTGAACATTCAGAAAGAGTGAATATGAAATTCAAATCACGAAAGGTGTTCCCCGAGGGGATACATACCTAGAGTTTGTTTTGTGAAGCACGTCAATTCTGAGCCTTTTATGGTTTCAGGATAGTTCAAATCCTATGATGTTCCGATTCAATGCTCACCGATGATCTGAGCCATGGGGCAAGTTTGTTTTCCTAAGAATCTTTTTGAACATTTCGAGAGCATATGTTTGAACATTTAGAGTGCATATGAACATATATTTACGAAAGGTCGCCTCCGAGGGGATAAATCACCATGTCGAACATTGCATTTTTGTTCCTGCCTCTCGCGTTCTCTTCTCTTCCCGCTGTCCTACCTTTCGTGTCTCCCTCCTCTCAAGTGAGTACACAAGCCTGTATTGGCAATTAAAGACCCATCACCCTTAGCCCCTCCCAAACCTAAGTTTTGAAGCTGCTACAGCGGGGGACTTGAGTGATTTTTTACAATTAACGGAAAGTTAAAACAAACATGAAAGCGAGTTGATGATCGTGATCAGAAAAGGGTCAGAAGTACTGGAGCACCATAGAACAGGAGCAGAGCCGCTTTTTTCCGGGACAACCCGAACGCCATGGCTTTGAAACAAAACCAACGCGTTTAGTATACGCACCCCTGCAAGGAAGATCTTGATTGCAAATGAAGAGAAGCATACCCAACACAGGCAACCAAGTCTGGAGCTGGACTGTGAAGTCCTAGTACCCAACAACGCCTCATTCACATTTTTTTCTTCTTTTCAAGGTCTTTGTGCCCGGATCCTGTCGGATGCACCACTTTCGCATCCTAACCCAGCTGCGTGGAGGGCGCTTGCCATTTCCAATACCGGTTCAACACAACAGTCTACAGGTACATTTACCCTTCAGCCCCCCACATCAGCAAACTACCCAGATTAGATCATCAAGATTAAATCCAGCCAGCTACACGCTGACTGATGTCCCAAGACTTTGTCCATCCACCCCTCTTTCGGACAGCAATAGTAACCCCCTTACCCTTTGGAGTAAGGCCCTCAGGGATTGCAGCTGCATCAATGATCTTGCTCACATAGATTTGCTCAAGGTGCCACCTCATTGACAAACAATGCCCGAGTACCAGTGAATGCCCAAAGATTTCTGTGCTTTATATTTGCTTTATATATATAGAGAGATGCAGATAGAAACAACGCAAGAGGTTCCATGCTAGATTGCAGACCAAAAGCAAAATGCCCAAAGAACCGGCTCCATCCTTGCAGTTTGGCGGTGGTTTGATAGTGAAGCTCTTCCTGGCACCCGCTCCATCCGGAATAGGCACGCCAGCTGCCTTCAGCATTTGCTCCTGGAAGGTGAGGAGGCGCAGTTGTGTGCGGATGGACTCCGGGTTGACCGTTGAAAAGACAAGTATATGCATACATATTTTATATAGATATAGATTTTTGTTGCCTGGATGCACAATCACCACACAGTACAATTTGGTCAAAACACAAGTCATATTGTAGGTAATGGTCTCCTTCTCCTTCCATGCATCTTGGAGTGATGGCTCTGCACTGCAATTGGGGGCAGGATCAGGCATATTTTGATCACCATGGTCACATGCCTGATCACCTGTGCCTCCTGAAGCATCACCACCTTTATCGTCAGAAGGGACAGATGTGGACCGACCCCTTCCACGACCACGGCCCTTGCCAGCCCTCCCAGTAGCTTTTTTGTTGATGGCTTTCTGAACTTTGGGATCCTTAGAAGCCCGCTCAAGAAGCTTTTCAGCAGATTCCACCTTTGCGGCCTTGGATTTCGCAAGTTGGGCTGAGTAGGGATCACTAGGCCCCTCTTCAACATCTATCTTCTCTTTAACAAGTTCATGAGCAACCTTCTCCAAGTCAGCCCGAGCCGATGGCTTCTCTGCTTCAATAGGTGTTCGGTCCTGGCGTCATGAACGTGCTAGCTAGCCGTCAGTTGTTGTTGCCCAGTACAGACTTGTAAAAGGTCAGACTCCCATTAAAAAGATATTAATGTCGCATTGTCCTTCAAAGCTTGACGTCGACAACCGGAAATATCAGCAGCCGGAGGTTCCATGAAGCCATCGAGGATGGTCTCCAGCTGAGTCTCGAGCTCATCAGGGTGGGGTACCTGAGAAAATGGTTTGCTGGGTGGTAAAGGACTTTATAAGACACAGACAGAGGCCTACTTGCTTCAGGACAGTTTTCTCAAAATCAAATACACCGACACATGACAGCGCGCACAGGGTCCGATCGTCTGGCAGTGTTTGGGGGTGAAGCACTAGTAGTAGACGACGGGGTCAACGCCGTATTCTCAGGCTCCTCAACCAGTACGAGTCAGATGCCCGATTCATATGGGATATTTGACTACGCCGGGGTTGTGTTGAAATGCTTTCAGGGTCACTATATACATACATGGGTTGTGCAGGAATGTCCTCCAGTGCCACCGCAGCATTCAATGCAGCTTCCACACCGTGTTCTGGATCCCCACCAGCTGGCCAGGAAGAAGGGTGAAGGGTAAGTAAAAACATATTCAAATTCAGATCATGCAGCCTTCATGAACCAATTTTTTGTCCACCCGCGCCTTTGAGTTTTAAATCCAATAGGAACTCCTTCAGAAACCTGACCTTTGGAGATCTGGAAGATTTGGCTTTCTTGCAAAGGTACAGCACGTGTGTCAGCATGCAACGCAAATTGGCAGCTTCTGTTCCAGCCCAATCCTGGCCATCATGCATTGTGAAACCTATTCAGAAGGGAGTACAGTATAGTGAAATATATATTTTTGATTGCAAGAATCCGTTGGGCCTTGATTTCACGACCTTTGGCTTTTGAGCCCAAGATTGCATACCTTTTGCACAAGGTGATGATCACTTCCTGCCGCCGAGTGATGGAGCGTCTCACCGTCTCACCACATATTTAAACATGTTGATCTAACAAGGCATATTGTCAATGGTCACAACCCCACCTCAAGATCACACTCCCACACTCCCCAATTACATCCTGGGGTCCTAGGAATGTCACCACGCCTGATGAATCTTCAAGCATGGAATCACCAGTTCTGTCGAGGCCAAATACTGCATAGCCAGCTCATAATGCTGCTCAACCTGTAGGTCTTGAACAGGCTGGTTGCGCGTTCTCCCCCAACAAGTATACCAAGATTCACCATAGCACAGACAAAACACCTCTGAAAATGAAGACATGAGTCCATCTCGATAGATGCCGGACCGCTGTCTGGCTTCGTGAAAAGAACCTTAAGCGGCTGCTTCCGGATAGACTCCAGCCGCCCCTCCTCCAAAAGATATTCATTGAGTACGTCCTTCAGGGCATGAACACTTGAGGACCTTTGTCCAAGTCTTTGTTGATTAGATTTGGCCTAAGAATTGCACTAACATGATCGATTCCAAGATGTATGTATAGGCAAGGTTGTTCAAGACCTAGTCTCGAGGAGGTTTAGCCCAGATGTTCAGAATCCGCCGAGCCTCTGCCACGTGCAGAGGCGAGGCATGTCTTGTGGAAGGTTGCTTGTATAGCTTGTAAAGATTGTGACCTTGCCCTGGGTCCTTAGAATGTTCCTTGGTGCGGATTTTTTGGTTCGCTGACTTCACCCCCGATGTTCTTGCTGTTGCTGTTGTTCTTGTTGTTGTTTTCCTTAGTTTTTGTTGTTATGTTCATATCTAACCACGGCTTTGTTCTTACAATCCAAAAACTTGGTGGGGCGGCGGACCTGGCCGAAGGCTGTTAAATAACACGGAATAACTATTGTGTATATAGTCAAGGTTGTTCAAGACCCGGTCTCAAACAGGTTTATCACAGCATAATACGGCATAATTACATAAAATACCCGGCCCATGTCCTCTATGACAGCTGCATAGTACTTATTCTGCTGGTTTGGTGGGGCCATGGCTTCAGCTTGAAGGCAATAGTCACACTAGCTAGCTGCGCAACCAAAATGCTGCACAGCTGCTAACCCATGCCAACAGCTATTTGCAGCGCAGCCCTCTCAAGTGGCTAAATCTGCAACACACCTATCTCAATTGCCTAGGTTTAAAAAAGAACGCGTCGTGTCCACTAAACTTTACCCACATGCATGTTTTGCATGCTCATATTTCCACAAACCTTGACCAATCACAGCACTGCAGTGGGCAGGCAGGCACCTCCCCAATGTTGAACCAGTCCACCACTGCCAGTACTTCCAGAAGCTTGGAAACCAGTAGGCCCTTGCCCACCAGCGGGTGCACCATCAGCTAGTGCTGACCGAGCCTTCTCAGCTCGGTGAGCTGCTTTGGCGCGTTTCATGGCATGCTTCTAGCCAACTCAAATCAAAAAAACACTTGATTGCTGCATGGTCTACACATGTCTACACTACTGAATGCGGGAACTTCCAGTTTCTGTCCAAAAGATGTCTGAATGATGACATCAAGCCATAATTGTACTTAACATTATTGGCCAAAATGGCCCTGTGAAGCCTCAGAATGCAGGTCCGACACATCCGACAAACGCATTTCCGACAATGTCGGTGCTATTCTTGGTCATCAGACATGACCTCAAATTTTGAGGTCATTTCTATTTTACACCTATTGATGGTCATGGATCCTCAGGGAACCAATGGATGGTGTCAATAATGACCCTGGTTTTGCGGATCCGGATCAGGTGATTTTTGCATTAATCCCCTTCTGGTGACAATTTTCTCAAAACAAAATTTATGGTGTAAATATTATGTTTACGTTTTTTCAATCAGACCCACAAAAGCTGGAGGTTTGATATAGAACAATTCTTCCCGTTGGGTTAGTCTCAGTCCCCCATCAAGGTCTCCCAGTGTACACTTTGTTTACATAAAGAATTCAACCATGACCCCAAGCCACCAGCGAAAAGCTCAGACCTTCCAAGATCGCTATAGGTGAGCAGAAGACCTGCCCTGCCAGGGATCGCTTCGTGCGCTTCGTGCCATTGCTTCGAGCCGCGCCGTCGAGATCGGCGCGAGGTGTGCGGTCGGAGATCTTGCCCTCCATCGGTGTGGAGGAGAGTTCGATTTGCCAGGCGACCAGAGACTCGGTCGATGTGTCCGAGCATCGCGGGTTTCTCGGGGGATATGGAACCGAAGTAAAAACGTGGCAGCTGGCTGGAATTGGCATGAATTGGATGTGTTTTTTTGTCGGGTTCATGACATGAATGGCCAAAACATGCTAGAGTTTTACAACCAAAGATTATGTTTGTTGCTCATGTACGGATTAGGTTTTGCAGACTGGAGTTTGCTCCTCCACCTTCCTTAGATCTCACTCAAGTGCTTGTATTGTTTTATCCTTTTTGTTGAGACATCTCGCAGTGCAAAAGGGTTACTTTTAGTGGCGTGTCAACTCGTTGGAAGGTGCAGACTTTGCTTTTGGACCACGGAAAAAGCCATGTATTTTTTTGCATAGGTCCCATTCCCTGTGCTTCCACTGGTTTCTGGTTGCATGTTCGACCGTGCCTCGGACGACCGCACAGCCGTCTTCCCTGGCTTTTTTCGGTCGCCGCCGTGCCTCGACCGTCTCTCGGGCTGCCTATCTCGTTGGTCAGGACGTTTGGGATCTGATCTGTGGGTTGTTCCACACACCTTCGAGAAGAGATTGCATGTGCATGTGCCAGGACCTTCAGTACGTGACCTCGAATTGGAGTCTCTGTTTGTGACCTCTTTAGGGACGATTCGTGACCTCATTCTAGGATCTCAAGTTCGGTCAGTTGAAGGTCCTGGTGTTTGCTGTTTTTGTTTGCCGCGCTGGTTTTTGCCGAAATCAATGAACTCTTTGGTCAGTGGCCTCAAGAAACGAGAGATATATTGTGTTAACTATAATTGCACACAGACACTCCATGGGACTGCCTATAAATTGACCTCATAAACCACCCCTATATAGGTACATTATATTCCAGTCCCATGGAGTGTTTGGTTTATATATGAATGACCTCCAGTCAGGCTCATCTGAAGTATATCAGACTTACCAGACCAACCTCGTGTGTTTGTCCTCCTTGCACTGAGCTCCGCGCAGGTGGGAGTGCTGTCCGAGGAGGACTTTGTCTCAGCACAGGCCACCAACGGTGGCAGTTTCTGCAACCTGTGCCCCGGATCAATCGATGAATTCAGGGAGCTCGCCTACCAGCCTACCCTCCTTTCGACCTGACCACACCTGGTGTAGAGGTGTCGACTCTTGATGATAGATTGATCACCCCCCAAGCCTGAATAGGTTTTTCCAATCCATGTCTGGGGAGGTTCTACATGAATCAAGAGTTTACATTCTCTGGGTACCTGTTGTCACCAACCTGGTGTAGCTACACTCACCACTGACTAACATCACATAGAATTTCCGAATTACCATGGCATGGTCATGGAAGACACTCCCCCAGTTCGGGTCCGACGACGTTCAGACACGAACAGCCAACAGAGGTTGAATGACCCTAGTTCGACTATCCCATAGGTATACCCCAGGTGACGGGTCCTAGTTCAGGTCACTTAACCTCTCTCGGGGGTTTTCACTCACGTTTCCACGAAAACCCGATGGATCCTTCGTCGACGCGAACCTTCGGGTCTCCTGGGTTTTACCCGTTGGTGCGTCCGGTGCACAAACGGTGCCAACTGGGTGGGTGATAGACGCCCTGTCGTCCATGGGGGGTTTATAGGGCTTTTTGGGGAGCAATTTTAAGTGCGATCGTCTTTGTTTTGATATGTTTTGATGGTCCTTTCAAGGTTTTTTTTGCATCAAACAGTGTGGACACACTTATAAGGGTTCTTACGGTAATGGAAAAGCAGCTGTGCTTAGATCGCTGTGCCGCGCGGGCGTGTCCGGCTAATTCGCTGCTATTTACAGGACATTCATGCTCTCGACATTGTCAATGTGCATTTCCACTGCGCAGGCTCGCGAAATCTGGGTGGCAGCGATGAGTGCGTGCCGCGACTGCGCGCTCGTTGTGGTGCCGTGTACATTTTTGCACTTTGTGAACCTCGAAGTGCGGATTTCGTGGCAGGCACCGCGCTTCGTGAACCTCCAAGTGCAGATTTCGTGGCAGGCACAGCGCTTTGTGAACCTCCAGGATTGCGTGGCAGGTGCAGCACTTTGTGCTCTCAGATGCTCACCTCTCGCTCTCGCTCGCAAATATATCTTTTTGGGAACATGCTTGTGCTTCAGAAGCGAGAAGGCAGAAAACACAGAAAAGAGCGTTGAAAGTATCACGTGGCTTGGTCATTTCATGTCTCTTTGCAGCCGCGGCTTGAACCAGCTTGACTTGACGACCCGCCTGCCCATGGCGCGCGCCACACACACCCACATCACACCCACATTCCACACCACACACACATGTCCACAGAGGCACACAACTAGCGCCGCAACATAGCAACATATTTGCACTATTCTACGACAATTGTCTCGCTCTTTCCACACCTTTGGTTTTTGTAGGTCCGTTGCAATGGCTGTCTGTTGGAGCGACATCACGGTGGAGGAGATGTGGACACTTGAGGGGCGGCTTTGCTGGTCGAAAAACGACAGGTTGGGTAGGTCAGTCGTTCGTTTGATGGCAGGAGTTGGCCAAAATGTTCGGCACCGAGGCTGGGCACTTAGAGTTTTGAAGCCATTGTGTCAGTGAACTTGGAAATGGGGCCGCCTTTAAACATTTTTGTAGGGACACGCCCGCCGACACAGAGCTGGATGAGGCTTGGGCGATAAAATTTACAACGGTTTCGGCAGGAGAGTGGCCGACGTGCTCAACTGCAGGCCACAATTGGATTGGCTACAATCCGGCGGCGAGGCACATTTGTGTTTGCTCGTTTTGATTTATTGACTGAGTTTGTCATTTAGATTTTGGCTTGCTTGCGGATCCCACCCTCGGCGCACACTGCGTTCTACGAGGCAGGTGCTAGGAGTTGTTTGTACCATTGTACCAATCCAAAGCTTGATTGTGCCAGGCGCGCAAGAAGCCCACCAAGCCGGCAAGACGTGTAAAGGAGAGACGGCGACGTCAGGAGTTGATGTTGCCGGTTTGGAGGGTTTTTTTGATTGGCTGCTGTTTATCGAATCCTTTTGGCAGGACCGGCCATGGACCATTTGGTCCAGAAGGCCGGGTGCTCTGTCGCGCTGTTCGATTCAATCCTATTCTATCGCGCTCGTGTGTCTTTTGTCCTTTGTTGCTTTCAGGTTCAGATGCAGGAGTTGATCAAGGCCAGAGTCTATGTTTACCAAGACGCCAACGATGCGGCGCGAGGCCGGGTTCTTTTTCACGACTTTGTCTGGTTTCTCCACCCATGGCACAGCAGGCGCACAGAAGAGAGCTCGCGACGACGGCTCTTCTTCCGAGGGCAAAGAATCACTCTAACTCTCACTTTCACACTCACACTCACGCGCCCTCTCACTCTCATTCTCTCACTCTTTCACTCACACTCACACACACACATTCACACACTCTCACCCACACTCACTCTCACTCACACTCACACACTTATGGATATGCGTACGGACTTGACAGCGGTGCCACACGCCGGCCTAGGGTACCATTTCCTGAGGGTACAAGTACGAACCCCTGGATCCTGGAGGTCTTCAAGAGAAAAGAGGGCCAAACTCGCAAGTCGAAAACGAAACGACAGGGTGACGACGTAGCGTGCAAGTCTGCAGAAGGTCAAAAGTTAAAATTTAAGCAGGTACGTCGGTGAGCGTCCCCACCGATATCAGTGTTCAATGCAAGCCTCTTCATTGGGCTGGTACTTGCGTGAACAACCAGCCCCCCTGTTGAAAAAAGGAAACTATTCAACTGAATCCCTGTGATTACAAGGGGCACACACACACTCGCACTCACTCTCTCACTCTCTTGCACTCTCACTCTCATTCTCACCCTCCCTCTCGCTCACACTCACACTCACTCTCACACACTCTCGCCCACACTCACACTCACACTCACAGTCACACTCACATGCACTCACACTAACTCACTCCCTCACACTCACCCTCACGCTCCAAATCACTCATTCCCACATCACTCACTCGCTCGCTCGCTCACTCACTCATTCACTCACTCACATGCACACACGCACACACGCTCACTCACTCACTCACTCACTCACTCACTCGCTCTCTTTCACACACATTCACACTGACACTCACAGACACTCACACTCACACTGACAGTCACACTCACCGCCACCGCCATCATCACCACCATCACCTCTCTGGACCCCAATGCGTCTAGATCTCTAGACTTTCTGCTTATATACCTCACACACACACTGTTTGGGGTCTCTTGCGATAATTTGTGTTAAGCAGGTCGGAACCGGCTTTGCTCCAACCAAGCAGTTTTCAGACAGGGGATGGCGGCACGCGTATCCAAGTTTGGTGGTTTACATACCTCCCATCTGTCTAAGACATCTCTGTGGGGGGGCAGTGCCATCGAACCTCCGAAAGCACTGTCGATAGGGAGACCTCCAAGAAGGCGATCGGAGGAGGTCCACCTTTTTCGCCTACCCATTTCCGGATTTGTTGTGGCTGCCACCAGCGTCATGCATCCCCTCACAGGGTCAGAAGTTGAGTCTTCTTGGAGTCTTCTTCAGACACGACCCTTGGGACTGCCATATATGCCTACATTGACCCCGATTCAACCACCCCAATGTAAGCATTTATTATGTGGCATACATAAATTTGTTTGGGAATGTTTTTTTCACCAGATCGCGCCCTTGCGGTCGGAGATCGCAGGTCTGCTTCGTTCGTCGAGCGAGCGAACAGTGCACCGCTCCAGTTCGATTTGTATGTGACAAACGTATTTTTCAGAATTGGTTTAAGCGTGCTTAAATATAGGACATTTTTGGCAGGACACCCAGAGAATCTCGGGGGTGATTTTTTTTTTGTGTAGAATCTTTCCATCGCAATCCAATTTTTTGAATCCTTCAATCGAAAACTCAGAATGTTGAAGGACCCTTTTTTTGATTCGACTATCCCGGTTGGGCACCTCAAGACATCTCAGGAATTTGAAGACCCAAAAGGACACCTCTGGGGTCCAAGCGACCTGTTCACCGAGCCCATTCCCAGGCAACGCATCGGCCCAGCCGTGGGCTCGCACATGGTGGGCCTTTCCGTGTCGGACGGGTTCGTCGACCCGTACGTGCACAGAGAGCGGTGAGTTTTTGCGTGTGGGCTTCAGAATGGAGTGTGTTGCCCCGTTTTTCGTTGTTTGTATCTGTTTGTTTACCTTTTTTCATCCTTTTTGATCCTTTTTCTATGATGTTGTAACTTGCACAATCTTATACAATTGTTCTACTTTTCCTTAGCAAACTGTTGTTTCAATCAGTGACACCCTATTTTCTTAGTGCCACCTATTCTGGCCTTGTCCTCACCCAGCCCAGCGTCTCTTGAGGAGAAATGGTCCCGCCAGCTTTCCTTCGCGATCATGGCGGCCGCCGCGGACGGACATTTACAGCGAGCGCTGAGACAGCACCACCCCGAGGCGGAGAGTTTCGCGCGTCTTCTTCCGCGCGGACGCCCAAAGGCGGTGGCGCCGGCGGTGACGTGTGCCGACACCAACGATTGATGAAGAGGGGAGAGTTTTTTTCTGCCGCCATGTGCACTTCTTCAGCTGGTTGAACCTCTCGAACATGTTTGGCACATAGCATCTTTCAAGGCTTCAAGGTGCGATGTTTGCTGGCCTGGTGCTGGCAAGATGGCCTGGCACCGGCCGTGAGCAAACATCGAAGGGACGCAAGAAAGAGCTGCAGACCGCTTGGTGAGCTGCAGCTGAGAACAACCATCGAGAAGTCATGAGATTTCTCCTGTAGGCTGGTGCAAGAACGGATACAGCATGGTGTAGCTAAGAAGACGGGCTTGCAGCCATACCATCATCTTCAATGGGCCATACAGAAGTAGAAGTCGTGCGATCGCTATGACTAGACGCTATCGCTGACCGGAATGTTTCTCAGCAACATGGAGCTGTTGAGCTGAGCATGTGGAAGTGATGCAACTGCATGCGGAAAAAAGAAGAGCACATGCCTCAGAATGTCTCAGCATGTCTCAGCCTGCCTCTCCTGTTGTTGTTTTAGAAGCCCTTCAGAAACTCCGCTCGCGAGCCCTAAACTGACAGCAACACCTACCGAAGTGTCGATCAATCCACAGAAGCTGAGTTTCATCAGGGTGCAATTCCTCCAAGCAAACCGTCGAGCCGTCTCACTGGTTTCACTGGTCTGCACAGCACAGGACTACTGCACCGCCATCAACTTGGCAACGCAAAACACGGCGGAACCGGAAGCGCTCACGGTGCAGAGCATGGCAGGACCCTTCTTTGTGACCTTGGCCACCGTTGGCTTCGGCCACGGTTGGAGTGAAACCGCCGCTCGTGGCCAGCCCTTTGGATGGCAACAGAATTGTTGCATCGGACACCTTCGGACACTCACAAAGGTGGGTGGACCCCTAGGGCTCCAAGAACCACCTCCGTTTCGGTTCGGTGGGCCAGGGGTGGGTGCTAGGGGGGTCTAACCACCGAACCTGAGGATATGGTTGAAGCTCTAGGGAATTGATTCGGAATTGATGTTATAGTTGGACTTGGTGGGGATTGTTTTTCAATGCTGAACGGGAAACCTCGGGTCCGTTTGGCCCTGCTGGCTGCGGCTTCCCAGGGAATACTGCAGATCGATTTGCTTTGCTTGTTGGAGCAAGGAAGTCAAGAGTCCTCCATGTTCCATTCAAATCAATATCTGTTTGGAACTATTCCCTATCCACTTGAGCTATAGTTGGTTTCTTTGTGGGCCGATTGGAGCTGTCTTTGGGTTTTTCAAGTACTCTCCGCCCGATCGCGCCCAGTCATCTCACAAAAGAACAGCTGTCTCCGCCCTGTATCGCAACAGAAGACTGGAGAAGCAACTGCATGGTCAACCGCGCATTTGACATGCGTATACACATTCCTAATTGATTAAACCTCCCCAGGCCTGAAGAAGTGTTGCACTCCATGGACATGGGGAGGAGAAGAGGTCGTTCAATCCCGAAGGCCACTTCGGGTGTCCAGACAGCTTGGGGAGATGGACTAACAAAGGTTGAAAGACCCTATAGACTATCTCCTATATACACTATCTCCTATATAATTATGATATGGGTACCCCAGGTGAGGGCTCCTCCGGTTCTTCAGGTCACCCCAAGAAGTTCCCTCATCCTGGGAAGTTCCTTCCCTATAGCGCTCCAACCACATCCTGAGAAGGTAGTTAGACTCTTAGACCCCTGAAACCCACCCCTGGCCCACCTTCGAAACGGAGGTGGTTCTTGGAGCCCCCTTTTTTAGCGTCTACTCGTCCGAGGTCACGGGCTTCTTCACCTTGGTGGGTATCTTGGCACACTGCTCCCGCGCGGCGCTGTTCAAGACCATCGAAGGCGGTCAGAAGGCGGTCGGGTCGACGCGAAGGCGGTCTCTCAACTGGAACCGAGCGAACCGGTGGGTGCGTTTGGGTCGGTGGCGGGCGCGTTCGGGGTGGTTTTTACCGGTTTTTCTCGGCTAGTCTTGGCGGGAAAATGGCCTTACTTATCTATATGAGAGTAGGGACCACTAAAGAGGATGGTCTTGCTATCCAACTACTCAGCAACAGTGATGAGGCCCCAATTGCCGCTATGATATGTTCATTCCACACTGCCAAGAACAAATGCAGAAGCAGCTTGGGGGGCTCTTCTTTGCAGAAAAACGTTTCTATCTCATGTTCCTGGACCTGGTCATACAGAAACATTGCTGTAAAGTAAAAGGACCAGGTTCTACTGGCTTTGACTGGACTTGTATACGGACTACCGTCGGAACCGTCTTCCTTTCCGAAAAAATGCCTCGACCGTCCAAACCGTCGCCAGATCCGGCAGAGCTTGTCGAACCACAGCCTGCGGGAGGTGGCCTGGGAGACTGCCTCCGAAGTCATGCACATGGCCTCTTAGGTGAAACGGTCGGACCGTGAAGGTCGGGTTCGAGCGCAAGGAGCGCATCACTTCAAGGAGCGCATCACAGTGGAGACACTGGTGATCGCGGAAAGTGATGGTGACCGCGGGAATCTTTGCTTCCACACCTTCCCCCAGATACCCCATGGGACTGCCAGTTCGGACTGCCGATCAATTGACCCCCCTGGCACCCATCCACTGCAACTGATCGGCACATATGGCAGTCCGAACGTTTGTGTTTGGGTCCTGAAGCACGGCCGGGTGTGGCATTTCTCGACCTGGTGGGACACAAGTGACTAGTGTAGATGCACCATTGCTCTATAGACAGCTTATTTTGCTGTTGTAGGTTGTTGTGCTGTAATTGGTTGAAGCAACCAGTTTTGCTCCCTCTCATCCAGTGCCGTTCCTTTGCTCACCAAAATGGAACATATCCGGTGCCTTGGGGGACCTTGAACGGCCTTTTTCATAGCCATTTTTCCACGGCTACTAGTGTAAAGTACTTGGGTAAAGTAAACCAAGGCCCAGTGGATGAGGATGGGGCCTGGTTGCAGTCCTAAAAATACCCTTTAAATACCACATTTGACCAAGAGCTGGGTTCAATATCTCTATGGGATCCATGTCGTCGCTTCTTAGGTACGGTGATGTGTTGGACACGGGTGCCATTGTCGTCCAGTCAGACCGAATCTGAGGTTCGGTACGAAAACGGATCCCGAATCACCCAGGCATCGCTACTATAGGAGCAAGAAGCTACGAACGTTGCTCCAGCCAAGGCCATGTCTTTTCGCCCTCACTGGACCGGCCACTCCGAAACGCCCAGGCCAGCCCCGGCCGCTCTTCCAGCCGGACGGCTTCTCGCTGTAGACAGGACGCGCGGAGCGGTCGAGACATGAAAAAGTGGTCTCCAAATAAATAGAAATGGACAACACACGAAAGGGATTGTACAATTTCTTTGGGTATCTAATGAGATCTATAATATCATGGTTTTCTCTTCTTAGTGTTTCTTTTTTGTCCAGGTTCCTTAAGCGAAACCGCCAGTATACCAGAGACTATATACCACTATGCAACTTTGGGGCGCTAGGGGTAGTAGTTCATAGGAGTAAGATACAGCAAGATTGAATGGGAGTATAGAGGACTTGCTGTATCATCATGGTGTATCATGTTCTTTTGGCAGAATTGTCACACGTCTGCAGCTTTCGGGAAGGCAGCTTCTTTGGGCCACTTTCCCCCCGGACACAGCGACCGCCGACGGGCACTTTTGTCAAATGAACACAAAGGGGGCGGGGCTTTTCAGATGCTCAATGTCAAGGGCAGGCGGCAGGCGAAGCTTCACCCTGACCCCGGGTGATGCCACTCACTTGGCCTCCAAGGGAACTATGATGACTTGTGCTGCTTTGATTCCAGTCCCAAAGAAATAGATCAGAATCAGCTCGGAACATCATGAAATAGATCAGACACGATCAGAATATGCCCAGGTACCTCCTTTTCAGATGGTCGAAGAAGTCGGTGAGTACGTACATACTTCCAGATGGTCGGCATTGACCCCATCTTCACCACCCCAACTGATCGGTGACTATGCCACTTTGAGAGGTGAGATAATTGAGATAATCCCTACGGCTCCAACTACACCCTCAGGTGGTTAGACCCCCCTAGCACCCACCCCAACCACCTTCCCAGGAGGTGGTTGGAGCCCTTAGGGAGTATGATCAGGTTTGTGTCCTCATGCAATCAAATCCAACTGTGCATCTCCAAGGACAGAAGGTCCTCCAGCATGAGTAGCCAGTCGGGCGCCACCGGCGCTGGCACCGAGGCCAGTTGGGCGCTAGACTGGTGTGCGAGATGGTTTTTGTTCGAGGTGGTGTGGAGTGTATTTTTTGAGGGGTAAGAGACCAAACTGGGCTGGTGGTGCCAGGAGTCACAAAGGGGTGGTGTTTGGTCCCATCCAGTGAGTGGATGTTCTGGGTATCCTCCAATAGGCACCCCTTTGTGACTGCTGGTGGTGCTTGTTTTTGTGATCTTCAACTTGCGGACCGACTTCTTTGGGGGGGCCAGAACCTCCCACAATCTCCCGCTAGCTAACGCTACTCAGATGCTACAAGATGCTACATCAAAGGGGCTTTGCAACATCAGCTCCAGCTTGCTGCTTGGGCCAACAGGGGGAGGTTTCTTCAACCCCACAAGTGACTCCCCCCCACGTCCACCACTTGGCTTCTCCAAGGCGACTCGTCAGCCCAAGCGCTCGCAGAGCGTCACCAGCAGCGAGCTGAACCTGCCGAGTGAAGCCGAGGCGACCACGCTCGACCGACCACGCGAGCAGCTGCCGACCGAAACCGGCACTGATCATGCGCGAGCTCGCTCGCTCGCCTCCTTTCATGGAACCGATCCGATGACTTCGGTGGCTTGGGCGGTGATGAAGTGAATGTGTTTTGACCGGAAAAGTCCCGCTGGATCCGGAAAATGACAACCATCCCGTTTGGGCTCCTGGCCCATCTCCTCAGAAGGTGGTTAGACCCCCAAAACACACCCCAACCACCTTCGAAATGGAGGTGGTTGGAGCCCTAGGGTTTTGTCCTTCAAAAGATCTTAAAGCCACGCCACAGGATGCCACATTTTGGTAAACATGTGTCAGTCCCATGGATTGTCTGGGAATAGGTCTTTCTTTGGGAATCCGTACACCATGGATTGATGTGTGAAGAGCTGAAACTGGTTTTCGCTTGATTGAACCCCCAGCGGAAATTACGCAGATGTGTCAGTTGAGGTCGTGGTTGTTTCTTTGTGGCTCACCGGCATCGAAGGAAAGAGGGTGTTCATCCAATTCCGATAGGTGGCTCTAAGCACCATGCACAAGTTGCATGTGTTGGTGGAACTTGAACATCACAGAGTCATTTGAGTTTTTGTTTGTGGCTGTTGAATACATTTGGTACCTTTGCTATTTGTTCTTGTCTTTGAAGTTCTTGGCAGCGGACTGACGCCCCGACAGGAAGAACCGAAGGATTTGGGCCAGATGGGCAGATTTCTCCAGAAGCAGCAGAACTTCATGCACATGCAGCAGGCATCCTGAGCATGCATGGGTGCGGCATATGGATTTGAAATGATTCATGGTACGCGTATAGATGTGTACCAGGAGCATCCTTTTTGGGTGTCCTGTCTGGAGATCCCTAAGTAGTGTAGGGTAGTCCATTGAACACCCTGCTTCAGGATGCTCCTGGTAGATATAGCATGCAATGAGTGAGTGAGCAAACCTGTGAAACCTTCTTCATCTCGTCGTCAGAGTCCCGGCGACCGATTTGATCGCCTGGTCCAAAGTGGCGAGGACTCACATCCAAAGGCTGCCCAGAGAAGAAACGAGTGCATACCTATGCATCCCTGGACCCGAGAAACCATCTCGGACATGACCGCAGGACCGCAGATAACGAACAGGTGCGACTGGGGCGCCTGAGGTACGAACCGAGGTCAATCCCCCGATCCGCATCGGGATGAAGTTGGTGTCCATCACATAGAAACTGACCGGAAACGAAACACTCCCCCAACTTCGTGGAGATGTACAGTTTTCATCCTGGAGGTGGACCGGACACCCTTACTAGTGGGCCTTTTTGTTTCTTTGTATACTTACAAATTACTCAGCGATGAGCTGACTCGGGCGTGGGCCGCTCGCTAGGCGGAACAAGAGAGAAGATCCGAGATGATCTTGAGAAGATTGCAGGCCATTGAGGAATATTTGCACCGTGACCTTGATATCCAGGTCGCGATGTAGCACTGGATAGAACTTTTTGATGCCGCATCAGCCATTTTCCGTGGACATCGCACATTTCAGAGCGATTGCCCTACCCTAAGGGTCCTTGAAGCCGAGCTCTTTGTAGATGTCGAAGGCTCCAGTTCGCAGGAGCTTGGGGAAAACCCTTCATAGCTTTCAAGGGCTGGATGCTTGGGGTAGAGAAGACCGTTTTGCTGACGGTGACGGAGAAGCATGCATGTGTTCATTTTGTTTGTTTCAGTACAGTGGAAGCTTTGGAACTGGGAACTACGAGTACGAGGTTGGCTTTGTGGATGTTTGCATCAGCGGGATCATTGCCAGCACACAATTTGCATGTGTTTTAGTGACTATACCAGGAGCATCCAATGGGTGTCCTATGGAGATCCCTAAGTAGTGTAGGGTAGTCCATTGGACACCCATTGGATGCTCCTGGTATGTGCAATGTGCAAATTTGATTTGGGTTATTATATATATCTAATTACCCTAGACGTCCGTCCCTTTCTGTTCATACATTGCATTGCTTGACTTGGTTGTGTACTGCAAATTCCTTAGTAAAACAATGGTTGTTCGACTTGTTCGATAAAGCCTATTAACAATACAGAACACGTTGGTGGTGGGAATCTAGGGAGTATATGTCCTCGATACCGCTAGTGAGACTAACAGAGAAGCGCTTGCGCCCCGCACTGTGAGTTGTGTCCCGTGAGACTGATGGTCTTCCGGGGGAAAGACTCGCCGCCCAACACAAGGTCCCACGATTTACATGATAACTTTCGCCCGTCACACGGACCATATAGTAGGATTTCTTCCCATTTTCCAGTACCCAGACATCTATTTCTTCGGCATCATGCACCTGCAGGGCAGCGCTGGTGTCCAGCCCAGAATCCAGTGTAGGCCATATATTCCAGTCAATGACCAGCTTCTCCGTGGGGGACACCGTGACCTCGGTGTTGACCAGCTTCTCCGTCCAGCAGCACCGCCTCCAAAAAGGCTTTGGGTGAGTCACCTGTGGTGGCAGCCGATGTCGGTGTACTCCCTGTTGCAGCAGCCGATGTGGACACCGTGACTTGCTTCCAGGAAGTGCGAAGTGCGAAGGCATGTCGTCATCACAACCATCACAACCGCCGCCACCACCCGCCCGCCGCCACAAGAACAAGCACAACAAACACAATCAGGATCACAACAGCAGCAGCAGCAGCAACAACAAGAACAACGGGAATCGGGAAAGTAACAACCACAAAACAGGAATCAGCTGCTACTGTTGTGTTTCGACATATGTGCAATTTTGTGATGACTACCTATGGTGTGTTTTCAGTCTTTCTTTGTCGCGGGATTGACCTGCAGGGCACTGGATATGTTAAATCAATTAAATCTATGTACTATGTACCACTGCTTCGTTACCATACATGAGCTGTAGATTTTCAACGCTTTGGTAGTGCGGAGAACTTGTGCAAACCTGTAAGATGAGGATATTGGGTGCATAAGTACCTTGTTGGAAGCGTTTCAGGGAGTGTGCCGTGACCCGATGATGCCGTGACCTGATGATATCGCACACACGCATCATGTGTGGCGTTGTGTTCACGTCTTGCGAAACATTGGTGCTTCTTTTTCCCAAGGAAAGGAGCTGATCCATGTGCTGGACTGTGGACCGTGCATCGCCCCACATCGCTGGTTGGATGGCTGTGTGTTGATTACTTGTACTTCACCAACAGAGGTTAAGTGACCTGAACTAGGACCCTACTGGGGTACCTATGGGATAGCCTATAGGGTTCTTCAACCTCTGCTGGTTGTTCTGTTTCCACTGAACATTTGCTGAGGTCAACGGGGTTATAGGGAGGTCCACCCTCTCAGCGGTGCATTCCACGGGCGAACACGGGCGAACACGGGTTTCCATGAGGCGAATGGCTTATCGGTGTGGGGTCATTCACCGGAAAACAACAACAACAACCACAACAACAACAACAACAACAACAACACAACATAACTATGCAAATAACTCTATAATAGGCTTCTCGTTTTTCATCGGAACATGAGGGATCTGCTGTGAAGCAATGAGGAGCAAGAGGATCATGTTTGAGGCTTAGTTGGCAGGGGCTTTGTTGGCTTATATTTGTAGCCTCCTATATAATATATAGGATTCTAAAAATTGATCTGATTTCATAGTCTGAAATCCTTAGTAAAACCATGGTTGTTCGGCCAAGACTATTCAATGCTGGTTTGGTTGGCTTGCGGGCATGGTCTTCAAGTCGAAACAAAGGGAGTGCCCCGGCCACCTCGGTCGTGGCTGTGTCCAGTTTTCACGGACTCAGTTGCATATCCAGTGGAATTGGGGCAGATGCCACGTGTCACCCTGGACATCCTTGGACCCTGGTGGTCTGGAGGCTTCCGGGATGGTCTGGGGTCTTTCTCGGCTTTTAGATGACTCCTGGTTGCAACACCTGGGTTTCCTGATTCTTTTTTTCCCAGATGGCCCAGAGGCGGTGATGGCCAAAACGCCGATGCCGCACACCCACCGCGACAAGAAAAGATGGGAATCAGCACAAGCTAGCACCATTTGTCCATTCATATGTGAAAGCGTTGTCGCATGTAGGTCACTGATGTGGCCACTGATGATTCAGAAAATCCAGGTCCCCATTCGAGTCAGCGTTCTCGAAATCTTTTTCAGACCACTCCAGGATCACGCTGGGGGGGACGACGCGAGCCAGCATTGTACCCTTGAGAAGTGTACGCGAGGATGCGTGTATACATGCAGACTGGATGCAGGACGCATCCACGAGGCAACCTTGCACTGCTGTCACCTGATGTAAGGCACTTTCGAAGACAAATGACATGTGGTCTTCGATGACATGTGGGTGAAGCTGACAGCATGTGGGCATGTGTTCTGAAGCCTTTTTGTGAGCACCTTTCGAGCTGCTACGTGTGTTTATCATGATGCCGCATGCCATTCTCTTTGGTACTGGGACGCAGACTGTTCCTGAGCTCACAACTCGCCCTCTAGTGGCTCATTTGCTTCAGCTGTTGGGGCAGTCAATGTGATGTTTTCGGGTACGGTATGCTGGCTCCACAAACCAAGGGTTGCAGCGCAACCCTCGAGCGCTGAAAAAGCTTCCGCGCCGCATATGAGATGCGTTTTCCGTGCTGAAAAAGAAACACGCCGCACGATGATCCGGAAAGCAGACCAAGTGGGTCCGAACATGGAGCAGAGTTCGAAAGGTTTTGTGCAGGTGATGGGTGAATTTTCCTGGTTTGTGGGTGAATCCTTCGGGATGGGTAATACCCAGACACTCCATGGGACTGCCATATATGCCGATCAGTTGGGGTGGTGTTTGGGGTCAATGTAGGCATATATTGCATATACATGGAGTGTCTGGGATATGTGGTATGTTTTATCCTGGCTTGAGGACATTTGGGGAGCTTGCTCTTCGGTCCGACCAGGAACATCCTGGGTCCGTTCACATGGCTGGAGGCTCGAAGGTTCCAGGACCTTGAAACATCCGGAGACACCCCAGGGTGCCACCCTGGCTCGACTGCTCGACTGGTCCGAACCGCTCCGAACCAGGTCCCCTTCACCCATCCGAACCCCCGGGGGACCGGAGCCCACGCGATGGTGGTGGGGGGGGGGTCTGGTCTCCCATGGTCTCCCCATGTCTTGAGCAGAATCGAAGAGCACTGGGACTTCTCAGGTCCGGCCTTCAGAAGGACGTCGCCTTCCCGGAGCGCCTGCGCCTGCGGAGATACATGCAGGTTGGGGGGGAAAACGGGTGTTCGACTCGAGGTCGAAGGGCTGAAATGGTGTAATGATAAGCATGTGCTATATATATATATATATAGATGTTCTTGTTTCTTTTGTTCGATGTCAATTCGTTTTAGGTGATGTTTCTTGACTTCCCTGCAGTCCCGGCATTCGAAGAGATGCTGTTAGTTGTCGGCCTTCCTTCCGCTGTGCTCCTTCGTTGGGAGCGGTTGAATGGTGACATGACCAGCAGTTCCATGGGTGCCCCTGTCACATCTCCACATGTTCGGCTCGCAAACATCACCAATATATTTGAATGTATTGCAGTAAGTTCATCATATAATATCATATATATATACTATATATATACTGTTATACTGTATAATATATATAGGTCATGAGTCGCTATCCAGACACTCCATGTGTGCCATGTTTGCCTACATTGTGGTGGTTTAACGGAGTCAATGTATAGGCATATATTAAGTGTATATATATATATCATAAATGGAGTGTTTATAGATCGAATCAGGCTCTTCCAACAGGTTAAAGGTTTGCTGGTGCAGTCACCGTAGAGAGATGCATTTGGCATACTTGTGTGGCTGTGGGAGTGTTTTACGGGAACCAGGTCTTGGGTTTATGAACTATATTGCGTTCAAAGTAACCTAGGCCTATAGATTTACTTTATAATTATATACGGTTGAGGTCAAGAACAATGTTCCTTTCTGCAGACTCTCCTGACCAAGTGCGGGGAGTTGGGCAAAGATTGACCCGCCACGGTTCCGCAAAAGACTGGTCCGCCGCCTGTTATTTACGACCCGCCGCTCGTGTTCCACGTCACGGCAGCTCCTTTGCCGTTTGGTCCAGGACAATCGCAATTGGGACGAATCCGCTTGACCTGGACCTGAGAGGAAAAAAAAGGATGGTGAGGGGCTGCATTTGGAGGGGCGGAGGGCTGCCTATAGGAAGTGCGTGGGAGAAGCTGGAAGTCCCACTCAACAAGAAGAGGTGGACAAAGGGTTATATACTAGGAGTCACAAAGGGGTGCCGAACTTGGAGGAAGCCGGGGTGCCCAGAACATCCACTCACATACTTAGGGACTCAAAACCGCCCCACTCCATGTGACTCACTGGTTGTAACCTGTATCTTCTTGGGGGAAGTTGCGGAGTTCAGACTGAGAAAGTTCCTTGCACATGAGGAAGTTGTTGCGGAGGTAAGGTCTGATGTTCGTGTCCTTGAAGTCGAAGAAAGGACCTTCCGGGTGGAGAGGAGGTTTTCTTCTTCTTTGGATCGTTGGAACCCTTCCTGGTCTCCAGTGAAGCTGGTCGTGGTGATGGGATCCCCCCTGGGTTCTTTCCTTTGGGTGCCAAAGAAGATAATGTTTAAGTCATGATCCAAAGCCTCCTTCAAATAGAGGGCGTCTTTGGAGGGGGTAGCTTCACCTACTTAGGCAGCTCGCTGGATGTTTTAAGCGTTATGTTCAATCCGCGCACATTGATAGTGTGCAGACATGTTCGGCAGAGATTCCCTCCTCGTGTGTGGTACAGTGTAGGTCTTCCACGCATCGATCGAAAAGGCGGAGAGCTGCGTTTAGACGCTCAAGCACTTTCTTGGCCCACTTCATCTCGTGTGTGGTCGGTGCTTTCTGCAGCACAGCTGCGTTTTTCAGGCTTTGGACTTGGATCCAAATTGAATCTTGACGCTTGCTTGGATCCAAGAGTTGCTGCACTGTACTCAATATAGTCGGCTAATCCATGACAGCTGCTTGGATCCAGATGTGTCTCAAGAATCTCAAGATCTACCTATATCATTATTTACCTGGACTCGATTGCACGCGTACCCTGTCAAATGAGACATGACCCTATCAACTAAGCATGCAGGTACATGTACAGGTCCAGTCTGACCCAGTAACTTCTGAAAACCAGAGAGGTCCAGAGTACGTATAGTGGTTTCAGAATAGATGGCACAATCCCCAAGTCAGGTGGTTTATATGGAATCCCCATCTGTCTAAGACATCTTCGGGTGCCAGTGCCGACCTAAAAACCACTGTAACTCTTTTTTGGGCTTCAGACTCTGCATGACCAACCGGTCTCGTCGAAGAAAACCCCGTCGGCGGTGGACACACCTCCAGGCACGCGCTTTTGTGCGTGCAAGTGAGCCGAAGGACAAGGACACGGTGGTCGCATTGGCATTCGAGATGTAGCAGTTGACTGTGCAACAAGGTGGGTTTGTATTTCAATAAAGGTGGTCTCCTACCCTTGAAAATCGTTGATTGATATATAACTTATTATGAAAATATGTGATATAACTTATCAAAATATGTGATGTTTCAATGTAGATGATGTATGCCAGCACCCAAAAGAAAAAACAAAAAAGTTCTCCGAAATGGATGCTTTTCAAGACCTCAATAGATGCAGCTGGTGGGGAGACCACCTGGCCCAATCGGTACTCTGGTCTATTTTCCGATTACAGGGGGTCGGAACGCCTGGGAGGCACCCACATTGCCTAGCCTGCCTAGCCTTCAAAGGCCGGTTTGATTTTCCTGATCCACAGGTGAACTAGGAGCTGAACCGCTGCATCCACCACTGGTTGATATGTTTTTTCCTCCTGCAAGACGTACTGTAATCCCCACGAAAATGCGCCGCGAGTTCTAGACTAGGACAGATTCTCACCCAAAATGGCATGGAAAGGTGCAAGTGACCTGTTACAGGCCCGATTGTTACTTCAAACCAGCCACTTTGAAGAACCAGGTATGGGACAAAGCATGTTGAATATGTTCCAAAGTTGTTCCTGCGAGGATCATTTGTCCTGGGTGTGCTGTTTGGAGGTCCATATGTAGAGTAGAGTAGTCTATTGGACACCCGGATCGACTCAAATCCTACCTAACGCTACCAATGGATGTCCAATGGTGACCTATAAGCAGTGTAGGGTTGTCCATTGGTAATCCCTTGGAAGCAGCTGGTACTGTTTGATTTTAGTTACCCTGACGCCCCAAGGGCGGGTGGATGGAAGATCCACACCTGCATCGCGCGGAGACGCGAGAAGTCCTTTTCTTTGCAAGATGGGTTCAGTGAAGGTGCTGTGCACAGGTTCAGAAGAATTTGGGCTGTACCAAAGGCTTTCTATCAACTCTTAGGTAGGCTGTTCATATGGGCTCAATAAATGTTGGACCTGTGTGCCATCTACTCTCAATCCATTATAGGAAGTCTACTCTCGAGTCATCGATTCGGATGGTTAGGGTTTAGGGCACTGGGCCCTGAGAAATGCGTTCCTTCGGAAGGGATTTCGCTGCCAAGAAGGTTTGCAGAAGCAAAACTTGTTCAGCCATGTCGACGTCGGACACCTGTTTAGCCATGTCTCCGCTACTTCCAGCTGTTCCTTTCTCTTCAGGAGATGCCTGATGTGCTGAGCAGTCCGGATATCGGAGAGGCGGGCGGGCTGCAGGGCGGCATGGAAGTGGGACGGACCTGCATGGAAGTGGAATGGAGGCAGCCAGTCGCTGCCTCCGTGGACTTGCGGTGCAGTCCGTCTTTCTGCTACCTGCTGTCTCTCTCACAGTGCGGTCGGCAAGGCAGATCAACGAGGTGAGTTTAGTGAGACGTGAACCTTCCTGGTGTGGGCCGTTCGAAGGTGCTTGGGGTGGAACGTCTAAGTACCTTCTAGGAAGGTCTGTGGAGCGCTAGGGCTTGATTTTTCCAGGAATCTGAGCGTGATGACTTTTTGCTTGGCCACAGCATTGGATCAGAGCCACAGGGTGTGTCCCATCAGACTCCTTTGTCTAGGGTGTGTCCCATTACCAGTAACAGTCGGTGTTGCTAAGGGGTACGGTATGTGTATGTTCCCCGTGGATGAATCCCCTCAGGAATATGCTGTATAAATTTTGGAGGGCCATTTGTTGGTGATTTGCTTGTGCTGTGTTTAGGGATATGTTGAGGATTTGCTTCTTGTTGCTTTTCTGGCTGTTCATTGCTTCTCTATGATTTATCCTGCTTATATATATATATATATATCATCTTGCTTTTCTGTGCTTGTCTTTTTTTTTGCTGTTCATTGCTTCTTTGCGGTTGCTCCTGTTTTCTTGCTTTTCCTGCTTCTATCCCGCTGGTCTTGCTCTTCCTGGCTTTTCTCCTCCTTTGATTTCTTTCCTGCGTCTTGTCCTCTTGTGACGTATTGCTTCCCTGTTTTGACTGGTTTTGCTTTCTATGACTTTTGTTGCTCTCGCTTTTGTTGGTTGCTGTTCAAGCCTTGAGCTTGTGTTGCTTTATGTGTTTTCGCCGTTTTTGTTATTCTTATTTCTGGCGTTCTATACTTTTCATACTCTTGTTGTTTGTTTCTCCTCTACTGGTTGTTGTGTTTTGGTTCACCTTAAGGGACAACCCAAGTGCATCATTGTGACCAAAACTCGTTCATTCTTTACTCCCTTCTCGATCGTGATGCTCTTGCCTCATGTTTTTGCGCGCCCGGCGCGGGAAACCGGAGTATGGCCGGTTTGTGGCTGTTTTGGTCTTGTGGCCCGGTCGGCGACTGGTATATTTTTGGGCACAGGCCCGGTCAGACGCCCTGAAAGGCCGTGAATGATGGATATGGAAAATGGCCTCCTGTACAGTTTACAGTCATTCCTGAGTTATTTCTTCTACAAAAAACTGTGCCTCTGCTTGGTCTCGAGTGTAGAGATCGATGGATCTAGACTCTAGAACCATCTGGCTGAACCAATGACCCGCCCCATAAGGCCCTACTCTTTGTAGCTCTTTGGAGTATCACTGAGGATCGCCATTTATCATTTATCTATATATTGATCCCGAACACATTGCCTTTTTTTCTGATCAAAACAGAGACCATGTTTGGGTTCCAGGTACAAGAAAGTCTTGTTTGGTGTTGCTTATTCATAAAACAACCCAAAGTCATCCCCACAAGACTTGTTTGGCATCATTGCACCCGGAAATCATTTGGCCCTGCGGGAGCCAGCGGAGACCCCATGGATTGAGCACAAATTCTGTGTAGATGACCCCGCAGTCAGATGTTGCTGAGATGTTTGTTGCAAGCCGTAGCTTCTTCAACCTGACTTGGAGTCCCTGAATGACCTCAAATCAAGGGACAAAACTGATCACTTTGAGGAACTAGATCCTTTCAGAGGGGATCCATTCATGTGGGCGTGTAGTAAAATAGGAAGACCTCCCAGTTCGACTCAGTGGAAGAAGGGACATACACCAACCCCATTGCGCCAGGGGGGTCTACCCATTTAGAATATAACTCTCTTATGACTCATGTGACTCATAATTGTCCAAACGCATTGGCAGGTGGAGAACATCATCTCCAGTGTCGCCCAGAAGTGTCCGCAGGACCGAAGATCAGACTTGTTTGGATGTGATCATGATTCAGACCTTCCCTAAGGATCCGGGTGTTAGTACACTTATTGGTACACCTAAGAAAGGATTTGTTTGGCTGTCTTCCAATAAGATACACTTATTGGTCCTTCTATACACGTTTATCGCAGGGCCCCCCACCCCCTGCGATCTGGAGGCTTCGACCTGCTGCGATCTGCGGTCGGGCGCGAGGATCATTCTCATCACGTGTCGGTCGCACCCCCGTGTCGTGAAAAAGCGCACACTGACTGCACACTCTTCAGATGGGCCAAACCACTGGGTAAACTTGACACGGGACCTTTGCAGAACTGCTACTGTACCACCCAAGAACGAGGTCTGTGGGGATGTGTTTTGATTTTGAGACAGTAGAAAGGATTCGTGATAAGGAGCCTTGCTTTGGTAGTGGAAAAGGCTAAAGGAGTTTCATTTGACATGAACGGCCACGGCAGAGCCCGCACAAAAATAATGCCAGTCGCCTGCCAGTAAAGACAAGACCTCCAACCGCCAAAGAAAACACATGGATGGCATGACCCCGAAAGATTGCCATATTCCCAATACCACTCAGGTGGTGAACTCCACTTCCATGATTTTTCCAGGTAGTGTAACTTCAGAAAGGGGAATGATTGAAACCTATTGCCTTTTTCGGCCTTGGTTGGTTGATCAATGGGGATTTGCCATTTGAAGGACCAAATTCAGCATTTGGTACCTGGCCTTTGAAGCACCAATAAGTGTATAGCAGGGAGTCCCAGTGTTTTGCTGCTTTTGTCCAAGGCTGTGGTGTTGAAAAATGTGTATTCTGAACCTTGTGTTTCCAGCACCTTTGATTTGGCAGCCCCTTGCGGTCATCCGATGCACGATCCATGTCCAGGAAGCAGATGTGCTGGGTGGGAGTCCTGTGGTGGATCTCTCCGAGGTGGACTCTGATGGGGGAACTCAAGAAAGCTGCCTAAACTGACTCAAGCCAAGCTACAAGTAGTTCCCGGGCAAGCCGGCGGCGGAAGTTTCCAAAAGAATAAACCTATAGGAAATGGGCATGTGGCAGGCTGACTCGCCGAGCTGCGATGTTCTTTGACAAAACAAGTTGGAACCGACCAATGGAGCGAAAGCGAAGCAACCACCGTCAACTGTCTCGCAGGAAAAACCGTTGTTCATGCATTTTTGCAAAATACCGAATAGAGATGACTCAGCCGCGTACTAAAGTAGTACTACAAAGTCGCCAGTTCTCAGCTTCCAGCTCCACGGCTTGCTCCGCGTACTAGAGTTGTACTACAAAGTCGCCAGTTCTCAGCTTCCAGCTCCACAGATACTCCGCGTACTACACTTGTACTACAAAGTGGCCAGTTCTCAGCTTCCAGCTCCACAGGTTGTTCCGCGTGCTAAAGTTGTACTAGAAAGTCGCCAGTCAGTTCTCATCTTCCAGCTTGCCAGATGCTCCGCGTACTGCAGTTGTACTACACAGTCGCCAGTTCTCAGCTTCTAGCTGCACAGATTGCTCCGCGTACTAAAGTTGTACTACAAAGTCGCCAGTTCTCAGCTTCCAGCTCTACAGATTGCTCCGCGTACTAAAGTTGTACTAGAAAGTCGCCAGTTCTCAGCTTCCAGCTCCACAGATACTCCGCGTACTGCAGTTGTACTACAAAGGCGCCAGTTCTCAGCTTCCAGCTCTACAGATTGCTCCGCGTACTACAGTTGTACTAGCAAGTCGCCAGTTCTCACCATCCAGCTCCACAGATACTCCGCGTACTAAAGTTGTACTACGAAGTCGCCAGTTCTCAGCTTCCGGCTCTACAGATTGCTCCGCGTACTAAAGTTGTACTAGAAAGTCGCCAGTTCTCACCATCCAGCTCCACAGATACTCCGCATAGTAAAGTTGTACTACAAAGTTGCCAGTTCTCCTCGTCCAGCTCGCCAGATACTCCGTGTACTAAAGTTGTACTACGAAGTCGCCAGTTCTCAGCTTCCAGCTCCCCAGATGCTGTGCCTGCCACGAAATCTGCACATGGAGGTTCACAAAGTGCTGCGCCTGCCACGAAATCTGCACATGGAGGTTCACAAAGTGCTGCACCTGCCACGAAATCTGCGCATGGAGGTTCACAAAGTGCTGTGCCTGCCACGAAATCTGCACATGG